TAATGTGGACACCGCATTTGACGTTCATACTTTCATGTTTTCTCAAGTCTCGGCTGCATGTGCGTATATCCGACAAAAGATGAAATTTTTTAATTTATCCGAATAGAGTACCGAAGTGAATACGTCACGCGCACTATTCGTGTGTCAAAGGCATTGGCGCGAGAACCAGCGCGTGAACCAACACGCGCGCGTACTCCATTCGTTTGCACTGCACTTTCTGGTTCACAGTGACGTCACACTTCGGTACTCTATACGCATACATTTGGTGCATACGCATTATCCATTATTTTCACAAACTGCGTGCAAGGGCGCGCATTTTCATTACGCACTGCGCTTTCGTTCACGCACTGCAGACACCTCAAAATAGCCCTTCGCGCTGCATACACAGTGAATACGCAGCGAGTGCATCCAACCCACTGATAAGATTTTATTATAGAGATCGGTGATCCAACCACGCAGTATAAAGCAAAGATTATAATAGCGCCGCTACGCGCCGCTAAGATGGGTAATTCGGCCATAAAGGTGTTATCACCGGTGGGTGCGATTCGAGTGTGAACGTTAATGCTATGCTGTGCGTGCCTGTCGCGGCGCCTGCGCATTAACATGCACTGCGCAGGCGTAGTCCAACCAGAATGGCGCCCATATGATGACGTTTTACGCGTATTCACGGTGAAGTTCCCCATGTTGCGCCGCTATGCGCTATACGATCTTTGGTATAAAGTTAGTCAACGCTAGACATACGGCTCAAGCACAGCATTGGATAACAGTCCTAACCCTAACCCCACATAGTGCATGGAAAATCATATTGACATTCAATTGGAGGATTAAACTTGTTTGTTCCCTTTTAAAATGGACAGTAGTGAATGGAGGGAGGTGGTTGAAGCCAGAGCTAGCACGACTCAAAGAATTTCCGTTTTTTCTCGCACTTCGCCACTTTTCAAGGTTTACCGGGGCCTCAACATATATAGTTTAAGTGCCTCCGAAAATACTACAGGTGTGCCACGTGACAAAAACAAAACCAACATATCGCACTCTCTGAACTCTCGAGAAAGCTTCAAAAAGTACCTAGCTCATGGCTTACTCAAAAATATTGACATGAAATGATAGGCTCCCGCGTTATCTTAATGTAGCATTATGAAATTGATGCTCGCATGCACCTGGGGCAGAGTGGGACCTACGGTACACCGGTGCTTGGGTCCGGCCTACATTTGAAGCAAGATATGGCACGGAGAGAACCCCCCCCCCGCCTTTGTGTTGGTCATTGTTTGATCGGAATCTCAGGAATTCTTTACAGGCTTCTAGGGGGGATGTGTTAGGAAACAATAGTTTAGAGTGAGTATAGAGATTGGACAGGTAAGGGGGGCACCCCTCCGTCCCATATCTTGCCTGGTATACCGGCCTACGCGAAACTTAACCCTTCTTTGCATAGAATGCTCCAATCAAAACAGCGAATTCATTGCCTGTCCCATAAAACGTGCCTAGATCAAACTTGGTTCCATGTATATACAGTACTTGTCCATCACCTTCGATATCACCGTGAATCACATCGGGGGAAAAAGAAGACAACATTCAGATTTGTGATGCAAACTCACGATTGAACTCCAAAGGTTAAACCAAAAACTGGGGAAATTAGAATGTAAAAATAGTTTGTATAGCTGTAACAAATTTATATGAATTCATTTAGCCCTCCCACGACTTCAGAGCCTTGTGCTCCGCCCCTTCTACACAAAACAAAACTTAATCCTCACTGCACAATATCAAAACATTTTACAACAGTTTATTCACATGTCAAGAAACAAATCTGCATAATAATTATCATAAAATAAACCATTTTCAACAGAAACCACTTTCTTTACATTGAAAATTTTATAACACACCTAATTTTTTGGTTTCCTTTTTTCTTTACAAGATTATGTTGTATCCAACATGTATTGTACATGTATCTAAAAACAAAGTAATAAAATAAAAGCACAGTAAAATTTTGAGAGAGATAAGTGCACATCATGCAATTACAAATAGGAAAGACACAACATGCAGCCCAGAAAAGTCGGGAGATGTACTAAGTTAGGAAAGTTCTCCAAAGTGGAAGGCTTGATAATGTTCCAACGGGTTCCAATTGGAAATACCAACTGTTCCAACTATGAACAGCATGGGGGCACCAGTGGTTCCATGCGGGAATGGCCCATTCCAGATTGGCCCAATCTGAATGTGCCGATTCCGAATGCACCGTCTAGAACAAAAATCTCAATCCGAACGTGCCGGTTCCGAATACAACGTCTGGAACAAAAACCAGTTTTGAGATACCGACAAAAATATAATTTTACCATCGGTGCTCTAAAATCAGCTTATTGCCGAGCTTTCGGTAATATGTAACTGGGTACCTTCGTCAGGGCAAGGAGATTCAGTTCAATGAGATGTCCCCTTTGACTAGACAGACTCTACCACTGAAAAACAAAAATGATACACAGTGTATACAATGAGCCACTTCCGTATTGCAAAAAGCCAGGGTCTTTCGGGAACAAAGTGCGCGCGAGTCAACGTATATGGCTGCACTGATAGGACAGACTATCGCGCGCGCGTACCTGTTCGCGAGTCTCGTACTGAGCATGCGCTGTTGGAATACCAAACTGGCTCACTGTACTAGTTCAATGTTCACCGCCCGCTTCTCTATATGCACGGGTATGCCTAATCCTGTGTCATTTCTTACTCTACATGCAGAATCTGCTGCATTGGGGTTTTTCTCTTCCCCGAAAGAAGACATTGATATAAATTTTGTGAAAGATAGCGCAACCTTAAACCCTCCTGGCACAATGCTCATTTGAAAAGAATCCACCACCAGCAAAATGTGACACTTCCTAAATTCAACAGAGTTAAACAGCAAGGAGTTCAGCTTAATGAACGTGACAGAATCCAATAAATGCAATGCGTGCAATCTGCTGAGTCCAAAAGAATCGATCAGCAAAGAGTGCAGCCTTCTGAACCTGAGACAATCCAACAGCTGGGTCATTTCCTGCTTTGATCAACAAAATTTGAGTGAAACTGTTGGATACTGCTGCATGTGGCATCGTGGTGCTGGTGGTGGTGGGGTTAATCACTGTGTCTGAAAGTGACACTGTATTGTAACATTAGTCTCAAGCACTCCCTGTTACCAGAGACCAAACAAGGTGTTCCAAGACTCCAAATAAGCATAGTGTACCTGTGCTGGATGCACAAATTTGAGTCTGGTTCCAGACTTTGACAACTACCAACAAAGCAGCCAGTAAACCAGCATCAAAGGGCAGTCAACAGTAGCCAAACAGACCTCACTAAAATACAGGAACATGATGGATCACGAAGGGCCATGTCCTGAAATTCCTGTATTTAAAATGGAACCCTGCTCTGTCATTGGCTTTTCCAAAATCAAAATCAAGCTTTCCCTCGCAATGCCAAGTCACGGCTAATGTATACAACCAACCCCGAAAATATTAATTTCAATGCGCCTTTTCCGTTGAACAAAGCATTGCAAGTACATGTCCGACAAAATAGAATTAAAACGTCACAAATACTGTTAGTCTCTCACCAATGTTATCACAGATTATACAGTAAATACATCTATAAATGTTCTCTGTCAGTCTCTCTGGGTCAAAGGTCAAGAGATTCATGAAATTTCTCTTAAATCGTAAGTTCCTATGTGCATTTTTTTATACATTGCATATCAACACTATTGAAATTAATACTTTACATATACTTTCCACACAACGGGCAGCATAAAAAACAACGAAAAACAAAACAACAACATGAAAAAAAGGAAAACAACAACAACCAGCCAACAAAGGCAATTAATTCTAGGGGAAAAAGACACCTCATACAAGAAAACGCCCTCAATTACATGAAAGACGTGGTAATGTGATAGTATGACCAAGGCTTTCTAACACTTGTGAGTGACACAATCATTATGAATGACCTGGAGAGGGCTCACAAGTTATCAGAGACAGACATGGTTTCCCTGTGAACAAACCTCAACGACAACCATCATTTCTGCATTACCCTGGTATCCAATCATTGTATGACAACGGGCAAATTAGACATGGAAAGTGACACAAAAGCCCCCTCCTTCCCCATTCAAAAGCTCCACCTGTCACCCCATCACAACCGCCATTTCCAAGACTGAAGTCACCAGCAATATCTTGTTTTATAAAAGCACCACTATTCTTGACGACAGACAAAACACCAACGAAAAATTAGGGCTTTGATAAAGCAACCCACCTCATTAAATAAATTTATGCATTGTTTACACTTAATTCTCTCAACCCCACTCTACACGTGAAACAGGTTGTATCTAAAAGGAAAATGCTTTGCTCAGCTTGAATGTCTTCATTTGCAACCAAGGATTCTCATTTCAATAAATCACTGCATTAAGCAGTTAACAAGGCACTGCTGTATCAACTGACGCTGACCTCAACGAGAACATGTGCGTAAAAAAAAAAATTGTGCAGCTGACTTCAGATGGCAGGAAGAAGAGTGTCTTTAAAATGATTTTACCAAGAAGATTAAAGATTCTAACAAGACACTGACTGTAATATGGAAGAGCTTTCACTGGAGGTAGGGCTTGGAATTGGGTCTGTGCGAGAACAAGAGGGCACTGTACTGCCAATTTACACCAGCTGAGTAAAGGTGCCTAGAAGTAATACAGCAGTGTTGTAGTCGTGTACTTTCCGAGTACCAACGTTCTCCGCAAAATATTGAACTGGGTAAGAGGGAATAAAGCCAGAGTGCACGGGCATTTGATGGTAAATGTGCAGAGGTAAGATTACAAAATAAATGTTAGACTTCAGACACTCCCAGTCGTGTAAAATTTAAGTTTTAAGGAGGAAAGTACTCGGAAAGTACTCGGCCGAGTGCTTTCCGAGTACTTTTGTCCTAAAAAGTTAATTTAAATCAAACAGGGATGGTCTGAAGTCATTATGTTGCTTTGTAATCTTACCTTTATTCATGTACCATCAAATGCTGATGTACTTCAGCTTTGTTCCCTCCTAACTAGTTAAATATTTGGTAGAGAACTTGGTTCTCAAAAAGTACTCAACTACATCACTGCACAAGAGAAATGGCAATGAACAGAGAGTAGGAACGAACTGGGACAAATGTCAATGTGGAACCCTTAGCTTACGGTCAACTACCGCATTCGTCCCACCAGATGGCAGCACCGTGTGTAAAACCAACAAGCTTATGGTTACTTCAGAAATTCAAAGTGAGCAGATGTTCAGAACATGTAGAAAGGGTTGTACGGGAATGCGATACTTTGAGAGTACACACATTCCATGAAATAAGAGCTGCTTCAGCTAGACACTGCCCTTTAACCATTTCAAATTCTCAATTTCACTATACATAATTAAGAACAAAAGATACATATTCATGAAGTGTGGGACAAAATAACATGTAATATTTAAATGAAACATTCCAATGCGAGGTGGGGATGCCGCCATAAATACTGATCTAGTTGACATGATCCCTGATGTATGAACAGTTGCAAGGAAATAACATTACGTATACTATTCAAATAATGGTGTGCATTAAGATTAAACAATTACGACGAAACTGACCATCTAAATCTAATTATCGTAGGACGTGACCAAAGTATTTTCTTAATACTTGAAATGTAAAGCAGTCCTTGTGGTTTACCAGAAGTTTTGCCACATTTGTTCACAGTGCAAAATGAAAAACCAGGGAATGTTCTTTAAATTGGGGGAACTACTTTTGTCTGCATATTTCAACCATGCCTATACTTCTACATATCTATGCACAGGGAATTAAGGCAGGATATTATGGGTTCAACTTTTTTTTATTTTATTCCCAAAATGCTTATGGCGTCAACAACTTGCCTTCTGTTTGATCATCATGCAAATTGGTTAATTGCTAACTTACATAGATGCACTGAAAAAAATATTGCTTTTGTATTCCGAGATGTACCAAACTTCAAAGACACTATTCGCATTCGTTTTAGTTCAATATTTCAAACGACAAGTGGACGGTTTGGTATTTAGTTTTGCAAATGCCATTCCGACAGAGTGAAAAAATTTCATTCTCCTCCCAATCTCAAGAAACCCCAACGAGATAAACGAGTGGAATATATTAATGCAGCTTTGATAACTTGTTGATAGTTGTACGTATCATGGTAGTGTTATCTCCATGGTTACCCAGTGTCCATGGTTACCTCCAGTCTCTTCTTTTCAACCAGGCTGAAGGTGGAGTCCTCAAGTCGTCTCTCATACAGGATGATCCTGGTGGTTATCCAACCCAAAAAACAAAATTACTTTAACCACCTGCTGCTGGGTGGATTTTTCTTGAGCAAGACAAGATGCCGGCCATTTTAAAGATTGTTCGTTTTCAAAATTCTTCAACTGTCCCAATTCCGGGCTCCCCAGCTCTGCATATAAAGCCTATGTACCCGAAAACGGGTCGCCCGGCAGGTAGTGGTTAATAAAGTGACAAGAACAATATCATTAAAATGCAGAATACCTCCCCATAGGCAGCATGACTTGAAGGCGGAAAGGAGAAATCTGGTTTTTTTTAAGTTTTTGAAATTATTCGCAAACCTTAAATAATTAATAAGTGATAATCAAATGACTTGTACAAACAGAGGTCACCACTACCTCTGGACAACTCCATGCCATCACAGATTCTAGGAAAAACCACCATAACTCTGTACAAGAGCCTCCTGAGATAACAATTTCCCATACTTCTGGACAATTTCAGAATTTTCAGGCAAGGATCTTCAACTGGCTTAACGCGGGAGAACTTTGACCTCTGGGAACATCCACCCTTCCTCTCTACGCACAATACTGCACTTGTCTTTTTTGTGGATCAGTTTCCGTTACGAACTGTTAACATCAAAGTAACGTTTCCTTTTTGCTGCAAACATTTCTCACTTTTATAAACTTAACCACTTGCCGCCGGGGTTGCCAGTATTGGACACGTATTCTTCATACGCGTGGCTGGGGTATCCGAAATCGGACAAAGGGAACCGGGCCTTGTACCAAAAGACCGTACTCGTAACAAAAGACCAGGCTGCTGGGCATTACCAACATTTTTTCACTCTCAATAGTGGAGATAATCCGGCCATGTTTTGGAACAGTATACCACGGTTTGGAGCATAGTACGAGCAGATTACCACCAAGGACAAAAGCGCTTCACCACCGCAGCAATGAGCCACACAGTACTGCTGCACGCTAATCTGGCCCCATTGAAAAGAGGTCAGCAGCGCACTGTGCCAGATTCGTGCACAAAAGAAAATTACATAACACCACTTAATCTGGCCTCTTTGTACAAGGCAGCAGGCCTGGCTGAAATACTCCAGCATCAATAGATATTGTCTGTCAGATTAGAGTAGAAACCAGACAGTCCTTTGTGTGGGTGTAAGTGTCCAAGAAATGAAGATATGAATTTCTAAAGAATTGTGAAAACAGAAAAAAAAGGAAAATTATCCCGTCCCAGCATCATCAACATTCATAATTGGTTAATTAAAAGGAATCTTGTTCCCAATTAAGGTTCAATTCAAAAAGATTTTCAGAAATCGCACCAGAAACTCCATAAACATGGCAATTAAAAAAAATGAACCAATTCAAACTTTTATGATGGATCCCTTTGAATTAAAACCGCAACAGTGACGCCCTACCCAGGGGAACCACTTACAATATTCTTGTTGTGCACATTGTTGAAGTTGTAGCTACTGAAGTAGCGGACATCCTGGTCGACATCCTTCTGGAGCTGGCCGACGACATCCATCATCTTCTCATAGCAGGGATTCGCCATAGATTGGTAAAAATCTGTCGCAAGATGACAACATGTACCAGGCATGCTACAAAAAACCTGATCGCGTAACTACGCAAATGTAACACTCCATTTTATATCAGACAACAATGATGATTATTTATAAAGCGCTATAGTCCACTGTTTCTGGTGCTCCAAGAACAACCTCACTACCATCCCTGCTCTCTGATTCCTAAAACCATTCCTAAAACAAGTGCTATATGAGAATTAAGGTTTGCAAGCAGCAAGAACAGAACCTATTTGTACATGATACCTTTAATAATGTCCTGGTACCCAAACGGTATTGATATAAAAAACATGGTACTTAAGGTATCAAAAGTACTGCCAGGGATGAAATGGTACCCAGAATACCGGTAGCATGATACCCAAAATAGCAGGGTACCCAAGTAACATGGTACTCATTCAAAATGATGTCCAAAAATGTTACACGAAACATGGCAAAATGGTACCTAAAATATGGAACTTGAAAAGACAAGATTTGTGACTTACCCACAGGCAGTAAATTCTGAGTTAGTAACCTGGCTAGCGTGATGCGCACGTTGGGGATGGAGTCGTTGACCAGACTCAGCAGACTGGGTAGTAGATTCTCGGCAAACTGTTCGTTCTCTACAGACTGGACCTCTAGGAGTTTCTGACATAGATGAATAAATCTGGATCGGGATCCAAAATAGGATATAAGAACAAGAGAACAACTTATCACATATTACCTTTGAAGTATTATGTTTCTCTCTGTCGAGTACTATCTTTGACATCTTAAATTTGAATCATTACAATAACACTTTGACCTTTTCCTCTCGGCAAGCCGTCTTTCAAAGATAGATTCCTGACATCGTCATAAATGAAACTATTTGGAGAAGCAAGGACGTGCCAGTGATCTCTCAGTGGAAACTGTGAGAGTCCAGTTCTGAAAACTTGTCTACGGAGAGTGCATCCAAGACGCAGACACCACGGTAAAATCACTGGTGTCGATTTCTGCCCTTTGAGCCTCAAGACGAGAGAGGGCTCAAGAGTCACACCGAAGAAGTCGCACATTATGAAAACCGTTCCTCATGAAAGACAGCACTGACTCACGTTTGCCTGCCAAACCATCTGTCGCTGTTGGCGTACTTGCTGATGATGCCATCGATGAAGTTCTGCATGAGGGTCCGATCTTCGGCCGTATTTATCCTCTTCATGATCACCCCAAGCTAACAAGACAGATACCGAGGGAAAGAAGCCTAATTTATTTAATTCCATTTTGAAAGTTTGTTTTGCAGATCTGTCTGCAGAAATAGACACAAGGAAAAAAATAGTCACGGAGACACTGTCATTTCTGTTGGACAGCAGAAGTTTACTGAAGACAAATCATCCCAACTTACACCCTCTAATTTCCAAAAGCCAAGCAATGGTATTCTGGCAAGTTTTGTTACACGGGATTTCACGTCTCACTTTGATATACCAAGAATAATCCACTACTTCCTTGTACATGCAGCATGTTCGCACGTTAAGGAAGGATTCAACCAATGTTGAAACTTTGAATTTGTAGCTTCTAATCAAATTTAAACAAATTTCACATGGATTAGAAGGGAACCATTTGGAATTAAAAACCTCCCTGCCAATTACTGTTTGCTGTGTCACCACCAATGAAGGCTGCACAACAATCTGCAGAACATGTGATGTTAACCACTTCCAGCCGGGGATTCCGGATCTGGACACGTATGCTTCATATGCGTAACAAAAGACCGTACTCGGAACAAAAGACCAGGCTGCTGGAAATTACCGACATTTTTTCACTCTCAAAAGAGGAGATAATCCAGCCTTGTTTTGAAACAGTATACCACGGTTTGGGGCATTTAGAGCGAGCGGATTACCACCAGGGACAAAAGCGCTCCATCACCGCAGTGATGAGCCACACAGCACCGCTGCATGCTAATCTGGCCCCTATTGGAAAGAGGCAGCAGCACACTGAGCCAGGTTCGTGAACAAAAGAAAGTTATATAACACCGCACAATCTGGGCTCCTTTTGCAAGGCTGCAGGCCTGGCTGAAATACTCAGGCGTCAATAGATTTTGTCTGTCAGGCTAGAGTGGACACCAGACAGTCCTTCAGGTGTTTGTAAGAGTCCAAGTAAATGAAGATAGGAATTTTAAAAAAATTTTGAAAACAGAAACAAATGATGAATATCCCAGCCCAGCATCATCAACATTGATAACTGCCCCGACAGAAAGTGGTTCAGCTTGACAACTGCAAGATTGAAGAGGCATGGAAATTCTTTGGAATATACTCTGGAGGAACAAATGACAAGACTTGTAAGGTGAGCAGCCCCCCCATGACATAAGAAAAATGTCACATCAGTGACGTTACATCCACCGAATCCACAATACATAAACAATCTCCTCTCAGAGATTAGTGTAGAAGGACAACCACCTTCTCATTACTCTTGGGCCAACGAGGAAGAAAAGGGCTTCCCTAATTCTCAGCTTACCAATCTATAGGCAGTGAAGCGCACATCAGCCACTCTGTCACCGGCCAGAGCTAGAGCGATGGGGAACAGATGTTCGCAGACGTCGCTGGGATCGTACATGTCACAGAGTAATATCAGCTGCCTGAAATCAAAGGGGGGGGGGAATAGGGGGAGTGGGTTTATAACATAATCACTCCAAATGATTGCCAATCAAAAATTGCGACCTGCAGGCAATTAATACGGTGAGAACTTACTTTTTTTTTCCCCCTGCCGGGTGATGTGGTTGAAGAAATGGGGGACATCACTTGGGCTTGGATCTCATAAAATGAACCTTAAAGGGTAACTGCAATCAATTTGTTTTAATACAACCCTTGAATATGCACCTTTTGTGTCTCAGTTAACCTGATTTTCAACTTGTGTTTCACCATTTCAAAGGGTATTTGGCTGCTTTTTTGTTTTATGCTAATGAGATTTCCATATTCAAGACTACGATGTAATCCCTGGGAGAAAGCTTGAATGTTACATTGGTTTGTTCACAAAGAAGTCCAGTATTCTTGCTTGACTAAATTTTCTCTTCTTTGTTAATTCAGTGTTGTTTATGTGCACAGCAATGAGTGTGCCCCAAAGCTTTTCGCAGAAATGTTTTCAGGAAGTAAATTCTGGGTTCACAATTTTAATAGAAAAACCTTTGCAATGAACCTAGTCTTCCCTGGATGGCATCACAGCAACACCGCCCTCAGTTGTCCAGGAAAGTTTGGATAAGTTTCATTGTTTAAAAAGTGCACTTTTCAGCGCATAATTATAACCAAATGGAGTGTAAAAGAATTTTTTTCATAAAATGAAAAGGAGTCAAAGTTGCAGAAAAATTGTGTCTAAGAAAAATTCACTTAGAAGACTTTTTGGCCTTTTTATTTTCTGTACATATTAGAAAGTGCTCAGTCTTCTTGTTTAGGTACCTTACACTCCGGACATGTGATGAATACAGATGTTATGTGTCTTTAAAAATGTAAACCGTTTGAAAGTTAAGGGCTATTAACTTCAGATGTATCTTCGGCGACTTTCAAGTTACTTTATACACTTGAGTTTGGCATAATTTTGTAACATGGATCATTCATCCACTTAAAATGCATCTGCTAGCCCGCTAAAGGCCAGTTCATACTCGCTGCCTACTCACTGTGTACGCAGCGCCAAGGTCTATTTTGAGGTGTCTGCCGTGCATGAAGGAAAGCGCAGTGTGTAACAAAAATGCGCGCCCTTGAACGCAGTTTGTAGACGTAATAGATAGTATGTACGCACCAAATGTATGCGTATTCCGACAAATGAAATTTTTTTACTTTTGTCGGATACACACACACAGCCAAGACTTGAGAAAAGATGAAAGTGTGAACGTCAAATGCGGCATTCACATTACATGCTGCGTGTGTGCAAATGCAGCGAGTATGAACCGACCTTAATTTGTAAGTGTAATGGCGGGACCAGATACTACTTTATCTTGTCAATTAATTAACCAAAACTCAGCAAAGCATTTCTCAATTCTTAACTGATTGTTTAAAGTGCAGTTAATTTTGCCCTCCATGACAAGATAAAGAGCGCCTGGGAAACTATGCACCAAGTCTACATTATCGGAAGGCTCAGCTCTACTCCAAACGGCAACAGAGACTTTTTTGACTGGTGCGACCGATGTCACAAGGGTTGGCAGGCCTGAACACAAACGAAGGGGGGAGGGGCAGGGCGAGAAACTCACTCGGCCAGCTCTAGACGAAATCTCCAGTTTCGGGTGTTGTCGGTCGTCAGGAAGTCCGTCATTCTACTGAGATACTGCCTGCGGAGCTCAGGCTTCAACAACTGTTGGGGGGGGGAACAAAGTATTCACTGATAAATCTGTTCCAGAAACAACACTTATGAACCTGAACCTTAACCCAACACCCCTCCCCACCTGGGGCATGTCATCTAGAAGCCTTTCAGAATCCTCCAAAATCCTTCACAATGATAGGAAACGGATGGCACTCTTTTTGGATTGTCAACTTTCAAAGGAATCAAACCATTTCCATGTATCAACAGGCGCACATCTATCCATCTTTCCCCAGCAAGTATGCAGCATCACAGCCCGTCCAAAGTTGGCGCAAGTCAGTGACTGGACATTTCTTCCAAGACCAAACATTTTACACGTTCACTCCGTTAGAATGCCACAGTGGGTGTGAATTAGCACTATGGCTTGTGACATCCTGGAAAGGGGTGGAGAAGGCTATGATAACTCACCTTAACAAAGTCTGCAAAGTGCTTGAGCACGCCGATGCGGACTTCGTCCAAGTCCCTCAGGAAGGAGTTGAAGATGGGTACCAGGTCCACAGCGGTAACCTCATCGCCTAAGATGAGGGCCATCTCATGGATGGAGAAGGCTAGGGTGCGCCGAACCTTCCACTAGAGAAAGGGAGGTGACAAAGAGGGTATATATAAAATTCTCTATTTCCATTTTGTGAGATCAGCTTTCCTATGAGCCGTGTTAGACTAGGTAACTTTGTGGCAATGGTGTCATGCAATGGCTTGAACCGAATCAATGTTGCAAGGCAGCGTTCATATTCAAGTACATTCCCATGATCACGAGTACACCTGTTAAAAGTAGGGGTGCTTCACCACAGGTGCAAATATAACAGGGATTATTGTGTTTGAGATTAGTCTGAACAACCACAATCCTGCTGCCAGACAGTGTCCCAGTCAAGTTTTCCCATTGAGTTCCATTTCCATTTCCATGAGTGGGAGTACGGGTACTTCAGCATGAGTATCATGGACGTATCCTGGTCTTGGGTCCAGCGAGCTGAGGGCAAAGTAGTAATTTTACCCTGGAACAACTGTCCAATTTTTTTTTACCCTTCTAAAATCCTCAACCAGCCCACCCTCTCCCAAGAGATTAGGTGATAGTTCCATTCCTAAATGCTGGTGCTTTCAATTCCTTAGAAAACAATTACCAACATGTCTCCGGGGAAGGAAGGCGGAAACTCCCCCCCCTCCCCAATAATGAGTACGAATCACGTTCTTCAGTAAGAATATGAGTTTGGCATTAGATTTCTAACAAATCCATGACCAGTGTGAAGAGCAAGATACCTCTTATTTTTAATTAAAGGTTTTGCCCTTACCTGACATATAAATTTATAAACACTGTATACTCGGTGCTTGTCCAAGAGCTTGCTAAAAAATATACAGGCTTACTTAGGTGGGACTCGAACCCAAGACCTCCTGCTTACTAGTCCCACCCGAGCAAGGTTGTGAATTTTTTCACAAGCTCTCGTACAAGCATTGAGTATACAGGTTTCTAAATTTATATGTCGGGTAAAGGCAAAACCCATAATTAAAAATTAACATCTCCCTAACGTGAACAACATCTGAAGATATCTCTCGCATAAATTACCTGCATGTCCGAAGCCAACGTCTCATACACCTCCTTGAGACACTTCCAGTTCTTACGTCCCATGGTCAAGGCCACTCCCGGCAGACTGAAGGCACAATGTCTGGCTATCTCCGTGTCCACCGTCTGGGCCCGGCTGGGGTCTGTCATTGACAGGTACAGGTCCAGCAACTCTGCAGGTATTACATCCTGGTGGGAACCCAAACCAAGAAAGTAATTAAGTCAAACCATGGTACACTGAAGAAACGTCAAACCCAATTTACACGAGTGAATGGGCTTCCAACCTTTTTGTCAGACCGGCATTTGGAGTGGTTCGTTGGGTTAGAGCGTTTTAGACCACTAATCCATCAAGTTACCACACTGCTCCACTTTCTGCTACTGCCGACAAGTATCACTATCATTGCAACCTGACAGGCAGAGCAGCCACAGCCTTATATAAAGCACATGACCTTCTCGCATCTTGGGTCACAGAAAGGAAGATCCCTTTGACATTAACAAATGTGGAAATGAATGTGTGTTTAGATGATGGACGTGACAAACCCAAAGGGGGGTTTTTGGTATCAGTGCCGGCGAGGCAGAGTGAGATTTATAAAGATGTCAAAAGCTCTGCAATGGCTTTATTAAAGGCACACTTATTACTTTACACAACTTCACACTTAAGAGATGAATTTCGTCGACGCTGAACTTGATCAAAGTCTCACCTGGGCCAGCCGGTGTGAACGTTCTGGTGTGTGATGCTCGGTAGATGTGTTCACCGAGGGCTCGGAGTCTGACCATTCTGGGGCTACTTCCTCCTCCACGACGCCGTTTCGAAACGTCAGCGTCTTCTCGTTCAGGCGCTGCCCAATCACGTGTGTGCTGCAGATGTTGGAGACCGTCTCCAGGACCTCCTCTGCCTCGTTCAGGTTGGCTTTGTGCACCACCATACCCCCAGTCTCCCCGAGGGGTTGGGAGGCTCCGCTCTGCCCGCCGGCGCTGACGTTTGCATTGCCGTCAACTTCCTTTGCAGGCTGGCTTGCCGTGTCTTGCAATGTGATATCGGAGAGGCTCTCTCCGATTTCTGTCGGGTCCTTCTGGCTCTCATCTAATCTGTCAGCCTCTTTAGTCTGCTCACTCTCGCTGTCACAGCCAGCTCCCAAGTCTGGTGTCCCTGTTGGACTGGCGATCCCTGAATCTGGAGAGGACTTCTGTTCATCCCCGCTGCTCGAAGCAGTGGTTTCTAACGTCAACTCAGCCACTGTTGTGAATCGTTCGGAGGACGGGTCATCCTCTTTGGTGTCTCCACTCTCTGGCAGAACATCAATGACGGGGATGGGATTCCGCCAGAAAAGGAATGAGTCGTAGCTGTTGGACATCTCGGGGGTGACTGACAGCATCCCTTGCTCCGGTGTAAACTCCACATGCCCTAGACCCTGGTGGACATTGCTGGACGCTTGCGCGACCTCCACCGGCTCAGTCTTTAAGGGCACCACGTCACCCTTGTCCTGACCCAGGCCCATCATAACCGAGCTTCCACCGACCGTTTCATCCACTTCCATGGCCACAGCTTGCATTGCACAGTGAGTTCTGGGATCCTGGCCTGAAGACTGGCCAGGACCTGAGGAGGAAGACTGTTGTGATGATTGCAATTCTGAGAAGACTAGAGAGGGGACCTCGTCTGATTCGCTTTCGTTGTTGTCCACCACACTAGCGATTTGAACTGTACCATCAGGATTGTATACTACTTGGACACCTGAGACTAATGGGTCAGCAAAGGTTGAAATAAATGGACCTAGAGTTTGAAAAGCTGCCATTCGAACCTGCACCAAAAATAATTAGAATAAAGAAGAAATGTTATTAAAGTCATAATTACACCAAAAAAAATGGTACAATAGCATTCCCTTCACAACACTTATTCCAAGCTCAATGACTCTCTCTAATAAAAAGTTTACCTGATATTGAATGATTCCAAATATTGTAAATAAACAGCAACTTCAGCAAGCACTGAAATCTTGAAATCTCCATTTATTGGGAGTAAGCTTGTGAATTTGTTCTGAAATACAGAATCAAGTAAACATATTCATGCCCACTGAATGGATATTGCATGTACTAAGCCTATCAGAATTTTAAATAAAACAGTGCACCCTCCAAACAGCAGTAACTTAGACAGAACAGAGAAATCCTGATTCTTGTAAGTTTCAATCGACATGATCATTCTCAGCTGATTCATGGCAATCAGGTGTGAAAGGCCGGATCACAGGACATAGTTCTGTTCACTGAAACAGAGGACGGACCTACCCATCTGGATTGATCGGTGAGCAGTTTAACAAAAAGCGGGCTGAGTTTGCCCGCCCGTACAGTCTTTGACACCGCCCAAGACACTGCCATGAAGCACTCGGCGCACGCCTTGCGCACTCCCCATACGCCATCCTCACACAGGTCCTCAAACTTGGGCAGCTGTGGGAACGGGGAATTGCCAAGAAATCTCATTAGAAATATGGCCAAGAAAGGTGCTCAATTCTCAAAGGATTGTGAGACACAACTACTGTACAAGCAGGGTACTCAGGGGGCTCCATAATTATGGGGACTACATATGGGTTGAGACATAGACGATAAACATGTAGGGGCCAAAGACATTTTTTGGTCCCACAACAAAGTAACAGTCTGGGAACCAGAGCCAAGTGGGGTACCAGTCGCTGCGGCCAGTTTATCAACCTGCTAAAGGCAGAATATCTGCATAGCAAATACAGGCTCCCAGCCAAAAGAATACTACCAAAGACTGGTTCTCCGCTCATACTGGCTCAGCACAAAGGCTTGCTGAGCAACATTTCCTGCTTAGCAGCTTAAGGAAACCAGCCTAATGCAACAGAGTTGGGCAGCAGGCACATGGGCAATTTTCAATTTCCCCATGCAAAAACCCAAGGAATCTTTGCACGATGAGCATGACACCCTACCCAAGTGCTAGCAGACCATAAAAACATCCTTCTAAAATTTAACATTTTGCTTTTTTACCACTCAGATTTACAACTGTAACTTTTTAAATAATGATCAAAGTTTCAGCTCAATGTACCAGTACATTTTTAGAACCACTTAGATATTATATGTAGAGCTAAATATGGTTGACTCTCATTTTAAAGAACACCATTATAACTAAATACTGTTGTAAATTGTGAGAATCCTAATTTCTTGAATTCTTGTATTTTCTTTCATTTTCCATTGCTTTTACAACTAAGTCCTGGTCATACATGTAACAAAGTAATTTGTCTGGTCCCTTTAACTTTTTGAGCTGACTACATTTTTTTATCCTCACCAACTGCTGAGGATTATAGAGTACCCAAGTGACTATGTCACGCACACAATTATAGAGCTGTCGACTTTGGAAAAGAACAATCAGGGCGATGTTTTGGGAAGGGGGATGTATGTGCGAGCATGAAGCGTGAAGCCCTTATGGCATGCGGTCCGGGGCCCGCTTCAGGGCCCCAGAAAATATTGCATTCTAGATGCTCTGTGGTGCAATCTGAGGCATCTCCTAGCCACATTCCTCTTCATTTTGGGGCAGTGGCTGTCAAGCGAACTAAAAATCTACATGTAGTGGTTCTTCATTGGAATCCTTTTCATCTATGGTCAAATTATTTTCTGGTCCGACAACGTGAAACGTCAGCAAAATTTTAGTGCAGAAGCTGTCAGGTGCATTTTTATATACCTGTCTAAATAACATTTAATATAAAGTTTCAGTTCATTACTCTTTAGCAGGTAGGAAACTTGGTTGCAAATATGAAATTTCCATTTCCTTACTGCTTATTGCTGCCTGCTAGTTGAAGGCTGAGGACTGGTGGACATAGATGGTTGCTCTACTGATTATTTGCTCTGTGGATGCTTGCCCTGTGGATGCTTGCTCTGTGGATGCTTGCTCTGTGGATGCTTGCCCTGTGGATGCTTGCTCTGTGGATGCTTGCTCTGCTGACTTGATCTGAAGACATGGCTCACATCCTGCTTAGTGAGGCATGTAGACTGGGCTTCAGAGTCAGTCATGTTCTTGATGTACTCAAGAGCATCTTTGCCAATCATAAGATCTGCATCACACTTCTGATTCTCTTCCTTTCCATATTCCTCTGACTTCAGATCTGATGAAAACTTCACAACCACTGATGGCTTTACGAATCTGAGAAGCAACTCCTGTAGGACCCTATTTAACTCTCTATGAAGGATATGTATGCATGGCTCCTCTCTCTGTAGAAGCAGGTTAATTTGATGAAAAATCTGGTTACTGTACCCCTGAAAAAAGGAGTACAACTTTGTCTGAGGTGAGCTAAATAAGCGATGAATTCTTGTTAAGCGTGACTCCTGCAATTGGGCTGAAGAATGTCCAGAGCTACACGTAGATTTTAAGCCAGAACATGTCAGCTTTGGTGGGCAATGATCCTTCGGGGCTTGTGTTGATTTCCTTTTCAATGTAGATGTTTTCACCTTATCTGTAGATGCAGCCCTCTGTTGTGTTATTTTAGGTGTGCTGTTACTTACAGATGATACTGTTTGTGATACAGGCCCATCAGTTGGTGACACTTATTCCGGTGTTTTATTGCCACTTGTACTGGGTGAGCCTTGAGTTGTTAGAGCTGCTGCAGGCTTGATGATTGATGAGTTGAAGAACTTGGTTTCTGCATTACTTTCACTGATACTTCCATTTTCATGCCAGTTTTCATCTCTTCCTTGAAGAATGATTCGAGTGGCTTCCACTGTTCTAGAAGTCGATCAATACAAACCCTCAGGGAGAGCCATCGTGGTGTTCCATATTTCAAGATTTTCTTGACACCTGTCTAACGCAAACTTTGGTGAGACTTCAAGACTTTGAGGCGCTTACTACTTTTTTTAGGATAGTAGTACGAATCTACTAAAAAATCATCAATGGCTATTGGTCATGTTGGTAGTGATTTGGCTGATTTTTCTGCTGTGTTGTGTGCCATGGACAACCAAGTAGGTGGCACTGGTTGTGTTGGTTTTTCACAAATCATGCGACACCCTTCTTTTTTCCAAGCATCACTGATGCATTATTTGCTGCAAATGCAACACAGTTGGACCAAGGTATTTTCTCTTTTGATAGTTCTTGGTCAAAGACTTTATTCTTGCCTGTAGAGGAACCTTCAGTAGGCCTAAGTTAGAACTTAGAAAAGCTTGAACAACCTCTCCTTTTGCATCATCATACAGGCTTAACAAGACAGGATAGAGCTGGTCAGAGCCACCGTCATTTGATCCATCAGTAGCAAGACTGAATGGAGAGGTACATGCTTTCTCTCTGCGACGATGGAAGCGGTATTTTTACTCATGGCATTCACGATTGCTGCCGTTTTCGTACGAGTACAGCTGCATTTTGCAGCGATTTTTTAATCGGGAAACATTTTTCCGAAATAGAGGGCCGACGTGGTCGGATGATGCTATCGGTAAATTGTGCTCAACTAGAAACCCCGTAAAGTATCTCTCTGCTCTGACAATGCTTACATCATCATCCACAGACCTGAAGTATTAGCCAATACCTTTTGTAGCAGATTTCACTTAGGCAAAGTCCTGGTGTTTCTCTGAACCAATGTGTCGGAAGATATCGTTGCGACCTCCACTCTTCATGGATATATCACAGCTACATACAACACAAAATGCAAAAAATTCCCCCGTCTCCAATTTCCGTATGCAGGGCATTCTCCGCTGTATTCTTCTCTGTAATTCTGCAGATATTTCTTAGCCTTTGCTGAATCTTTTGACACCATTTTGACCACACAATGAGTCGCGCCTACCGCGTCAGCGACCAACCTTGTTCCCATAGGAGCAATCTTGCCGCGCCATGTTGGTTCTGACCATGCTTGGGGTCGAGGTTGCTGCAGCATGTACTCGTGACACCAGCTATGTGTGCATGTGTGTGACAACCGTCTGGAATCCATCTGCCAAATATGGTGTCTACACCAAGAGTGGCAGCAATTCGCTGGTGACAGACTCTTCACTGGTCCACGTTTGGGAAAATACAAAAGTTTATACGCTTACAGGTTACCAGTTGTGTAGACTTGAATCCAGGCCCAATGTACAAGCGAGATTCATTGACAAACGAAATTAATGTACATTCGAATGGCTCTCTCCCACACTGAGAAGTGCATGACTCCGGTATATACTCTTGTACAGAGTCTAGTTTTCGACAACGGAAATGACAGCGCCTGTGTACACGTACATACAGTTTATGCATGTAATAATTTTCGATTTAAAAAAGAGCAGACACATTCACAACAAAATATTTTCATGCTAAGTTTTATTACAACTCCGACTGTGGCAATTCAAAAAGACAGGTAAATATAAATTTGCATACACAAATTGACAATCCGGGAGATTTTTAACATGTGCTGCGAGGCAGAAGAACGACCGATTTTCTGGGAGTTTCCGCAAAATCCGGGAGAGTAGGCAGCTCTGCAATTATGTGCGTAAAAGGCATGAGAGCAAGTACCAGCACATGAACCAACACGCACACGTACTCCATTCGATTTCATTACACTTTCCAGTTTAAAATGACATCACACTTCGGCATTCTACAGCCAAAGAATGTAAATATTCCCCGTTTAGCAACAACGACAACTACTGGCAGTGCAATCATGCACCGCGTCCACAGTAAGCCACGTCTGAATGTTACAGCTGTGGTTAGAAAATAACTTGTGTGCCTATAGAAGCTACTGAAGCCACTTCCCCTAGACAAGTGTCAAATTCAGCCACAGCCAGTGGATTTGGACATAGCCATATTATACAAGGCAAAAAAAAACCACACATCACCATGTATCATACAAACAAGTGTAATACCAAAGTGCAAGCTGCAGCACAAACATGACATCGATAGGAAAATGAGCTTACTAGCAAATCTTCTGTTGCTTCTTCACCCACAACGTTACAGATATCTCCAAAGTTGGCGGCACACACCTGGTAACAATACAAGCAAAGGGGTAAATCATTTTCAAAATTGACACTGAACATCTTCACATTCTGTGTGTGCTGGATGCTTAGCCAAAATCTAGAATGTTTTCTTTGAGCAAGACTGGGCCTTCCTGACTAATTGCTAGGTTCAAGAAACTGGAAAATAAATCCACCGCTTGAAGTTTTTTCCTGTGGACAGTTTTTCTACTATTTCAACTTTATTTAGCAGTATCTCGCCCTGCAAAAAAAAACAATAAAAAAGCACAGTAATAAACTCTGTAATAAAATGAAAAATAAGCGGACAACTGTGAAATGATTTTGACAATCTCGGACATATAACATTGCAGAACACTAAAGATGCTTAGCTTAATTTTGCCACAGAAAAACGTTGAGACCCACAGTGTCGACAATTTGAAAATTTGTTCATATTCAATTTTTTTTTCAAATTGTTACTGATGATATTTTTACCATTGTAAGTACTCTTTTAAATATGCACGTTAACAGAAATAGAACAAAATAAAACTAGGCAATACAAGTTTAATTTCTCAAGCAAGAAGCTTCCAAGTGGCTCTTCTTTAGCATCTCAAAACTATACCGTACACACTTGTACTTCTGCATCTTGAAATTGGTTTCAAACATCAACTAAAATAACTGCCAAGGCACATTCCTATCAATTGCCAAGAGAGTAAGGTCATTCACACAACCATGAGGTCAGGTCCACATCAAAGACTGCACAGTTCAGTCACAAACCCCACAAGAAGAACAATCTCTCCATCATTATTTACCCCCAGGATTTCGTCCTTTTTACACAAACCAATCCGACCTCCTCCAATCACATGACTCTGTGCAGAAAAAAACCGGCCGCCTGTATCCTATACCGTCTTGCACAGCCCCCCCAGGTCACAACCGCTTTTCCGTCCAAAGACCGACAGACATCGGCAACGGGCAAGATCGGTAACACAACTTACAAATCCATCCTTTATTCTCCCCTCCACTTCCCTCTAACACCTATCAAAGTCCCCACTGCCGGGCCAACGATTAGATTACCAGCATCTTTAGCACGTGAATTAGGTCATTAGAGCGAGCGATAATGTGATTGTTATATCCGGGGCCTGCCTGCGGGTGCAAGCAGCAAGAGGCTACAGCAGGGGGGGGGAGGGGGAAGGAGGGAAATGTCAGGGGGAAGCTAACCGGATTATCCTGGGTGAGGGCTTGCAGAAACACGGTTCGCGGTCTCAGCGGTGGGAGGCTGGGGGAGAATTTCTCACGGGAGGAGGGGAGTGAAGAGGCATATTGGAGTCCGTAAGACAATGACTTGACTTCAAAACAGAATTACCGGTAATTAGGCAAGTGTACAGAGAGTTGCTCTGTGCATGCATAAAAAACTGATCCTTCCTCACATCAACACTCACATGTCCGGCAGATCCAATGTCTGCAGCCCCCTTTTTCAGTGTTATCAGTCTAGTTTATGTTTAACCACTGATTAATATTCAAACAAAGCCTGGCTTATCTTCCGTGGAACAGCTGGAATGATCAGTCGTCATTTTACATGTAACTATTTCTGGAATAATTAAATTCCTCAAAAGACTCTCTTGCTGTTTTATCATTAAAATTTAACGCTTGGTTCTACTGTTCTCGAAAAGAAGATAACCAAACAAGCGAAGAGAAACCTTATCCATAACCATCCAGATGCTGTATAAATTACAAAGAATTTTGCTCCGTTTGCTGGTTAAAGTTAATGCCCTCAAAAATTTCTCTCCTAATATGAGCACTTACTATTGGGTCAATCAACTCATACAATGTTTAACAAAAATAATATAACGACAATAAGACTAAAGATGATCCTACTCTGAGCCTTTAAAAGTATCAAGTGCACTAGCCCTTTAATTTGGCTACGCAGGAAGAAAAACTGCACAGATATCAAACCAAAAAACAAGGACAGCTGAAACAACTAACCTTTCGTATATGAAACATACTATCTGAGCAGAGTTCCGTGAACTGGGGAAGAAACTGGTTGAGTGTGATATCCTTGCCAGCCAACGGTGCAACTTTACTCATGAGCTGTAGAGCGAAAGGACAACAGATTACAAACGTTCAGAGCACTTATACATACGCGTACATGTATGTACATGAACAACCATTACAGGGAATCTCAGTTGAGTATTTCACAAAAATGAAATAATGTGCTTCTGACCTGACAGCATCAACAGTTACAATGAACATTATTTTAAGCTTTATAAGCTTCCTTTGTAAGAAGATTCAAGCACAGGACAGGAAAGATTAGAAAAATTGCCTGAATGTTGATTTTGGGGAGATACATGTACAGTACGTTTCCTCGTTATCTTGGGATAAAGTTAGTGCGCATCTTGAAAGCCAGGACACTCCTGTTCCGCTGGCAATGTGCCGGTTCAGACATGATGCATTCCTGGGGGGGGAGAACTAGAAGTATCCTGTGTATCCTCCGGGGTGCCGTTCCTGAGTTAGTGTGTGTAAAGGCAGACGTTCCCGAGGTGTTGTTAGAAGAACATCCCCCTACCTGCAATGTGGTATATTTTGTATCACTTCTGGCCAATGTTAGAGCCACCGGTTCCGTTTCCGTCGCAAGAGCAGCAGCACCGTGGTGAGAGACACAGTAGCGAGATGGTTTTCAAGATTCACAATCTCACTACCCATGTCTTTCACACAGTACACTGCACAGAGTGAGCGCCAGCGTATCAGAGACACAAAGACACAGAAGAAGAAACAGACGAGACCAGCAGGGACACGGACACCTCCCGTTAATGCCACCACAAGCAATACAGACAAATTGGGGGGAAAATGTATCAGGGCGAACAGTTTAATGGAACCACCATCAAATAAGAGTATGAAAAATGCTTTTTTACATAGGTCACCAAACAACGCAAAGATACTTTTTCAGTAAGATTTGCACTGCCGACCGTATACTAGCACATACAAACTAAATGGTGGCCCCATTTCACACAAATTGCAGTGAAGTCACACAGAAATAGCGATAGTGTGTGTTTAGTGTAAGATAACTATGCTAGCCACAGAGCATTTAAACACCACAATTTATGACATCTGTGGCATACTTCTGGCCAAGAGAGCTAGGAAGAGAAGAACTCCAGCAAAGACAGGACACTGAAGGAGTACTCACTGCGACAGCTTCATTACGGTAGTCTTCCGAGCTGCCTTGCCCAGACAGCTGGAGGATGATGGGACAGACTTGCTCCTCGATGTCCTTCTTCTCAATCAGATCTTGTTCTAAGAGGACGAGCAGTGCGGCTTGACTCGTCTTGCGCACCTGTGTGAGTGGTGGGCGGGGGCAGGGCAAGGAGAAAGGTGACTGGATTAGTGTTCACTGTTACCACATACTTCTAGGATATATCATCGCCGGACATTAGCGAGGTTTGGCAGCAAATTGACAGAAATATGTGAGCCGGAATTGCAAAACATCTCCGTGCATGACAATGCATAAAGGCCTTTCATGTTCATGTTGACATTCACACACATGTTGTTATTTTAATTATTATTATGGTTTATTTAAACCCTCCCGTCGCAGCCCTGAGGCTGAATTGTGGGCCAGTTTACACTCATAAAAAAATTACCAATAATTGCTAAAAAAAAATCTTAAAGAAAGAATTTATTCAAATAAAACCGCTAGTTAGAAAAATTCTAAACATTTTAAACAAAACCAAGTTCTTTAAAATGTCACTATTACAATCATAAACAATTAAAGTGGGACGCACAATCTGCAATCAGAAAATTCCAAGTAGTTCTCATTCAGTAATTTAACCACAGTTTGACTAGCTTATCATGTACATGTACATCTCCGTAGAATATGCCACTGATCCTTGACAACTACCACATTATGGCTACAAATTCTTCAAACAGTCCCTCAAAGTCAAATGAGAAACGTAAAACAAGTCTCACAATGACAACAACTATATATGAAGTGATAAATAAACCCCTACTGTAGAGAAATGTATGCAGAATGCTACGCTGCATTGTATGGTTATGAGCAGCAAAGTACTGTACTATGAGAGTGGATAACAGTGTCCTATGCTTGCTATTAAAAAAAAATGTTTTCCTTTGTACAGAAAACACAGGAACAATGCATGTTTTTCTTCTTGGAGGAAACTGGAGACAGAAATAATACATACAGTGTATCTACAGCCTCGCGGCAGGGCAATTAGCATTACGGCAGAGAAAAGTCGCATGCAACTTCAACTCTGAGGATGAAATTGAATCTACCTTAGCATAATGTGTGTGTGAAAATAGAAAAACTTGATGTCCAGAAGCACTTCTATAAACCCTTAAGAATTCACTGAGAGGGATTGGTAGGTTTTAAAAGATTCGGGCGGCTTGGCCTGGCCACTTTGGCTTTACATTGTAAAGTAAAAAGAGCTAGGCAAGTGGCTTTATAGAAGTGAAGGGAATAAGCTACAGGATTCCTGCCAAGAAAAGATTTTACATGATTCATAAATCTTTTTTTAAATGCCTGAAGAGTTAGGATTTCAATCCTAAAAGAAATTACAGCAATGCTAGGAACTGAGGCTTCAACCAATACCAAAATATTGGAACTCCCAGCCCAGGGACAATTAGAGATAAAGGAAGAGAACAGGTGCAAAGGTGCCACATTCTTCTGAGCCAGCACTGACACCCCATGGGTCCCAATAACAATACCAGCTGTGTGTCAGGTCTGGGGAACAACAGGGGAGATGAGCTGATTCTGGTTTGCCAGATGGTATTATCTGCATGGAAGGAGCTGGGTGGGTGCAGGGTGTGGGGCTACCGGTGATGAGTGACTCCATTCATAATTCACCTCGACAAGGGGTAATGTATTTGTCTACAACGGGACTTTTTGAATTTTTTGAAAGAAGATGGAAAGAACAGGATAAGCCAGGTGGAAGCAGATCCACTTCAAACACATTGTGCCATTGCAATGTTGGTCTGGGGTCAGAAGATGAACATGTAAACAGCAAACATGTAACTCAAAAGAGAGAAGCACTTACCCCCTCCCCCCAAAAAACCCCCAGAAAGTGCTGTTGACCAACTCAACAGATACAAGTAAGACCACATTATATGAACACTGATCTGCAAGCAGGAATGATAGGAAGTATGAAATCAGTTTTCGATTGAATGAGTAAAAAAACTGAATGAGTACAAAAACTGAATGTCCCTGGACAGGAGGAAGGTAAATGAGCAAAAAAAAAAGAAGGCGGACAGTCCCTGTATTACTTCCTGTTGACAGTGATTTTCTTGCCTTCTTAACCACTGAGGAGAAGATCTGTTAATCACTTGGGTAAGTTTGAGGCTTCAAACCATCTGATCTGATGGATAAGCGAAACATGCCTGCATCGCACCTGGTTGTTGGTATCGGTGAGGTAGCGGACAACCAACGGGAGGATGTAGTCCTGCACGGTGTTTGGGAAGAAGCCACGATTTTCTTGGCACAGCATGGCAATGTGAGGAATCTGTTCCATCAACTCGGCTCGGACCATAGGCTCTGCGGGAGAAGGAAAAACACAAAATGCCCAATGAAGGCCAATATCTGGTTTATCCGACCTGAACAAAGCTTATGAATGTACATGTACCCCCTAGCCTTGCTACCGGTATGTCAATTCAGCTCAGATTACAAGCTCGGTAGGTACCAGTAGATAGCAGTGTTGGATTCGAGTCCATCACAAGTCCTTTCACAAGTCCAGTCATAAGTAACAGGGTGAACAATGACAAGACAACGCTTTTGTCAACGTCCATCTAAGCAGCTTGTGAATTGGCTTAAAACAGGCAGACTTGATAGACTTGTGGATGGACTTAGAGTGATTTGCAGGGACTTGTGATGGACTCGATTACAACACTGGTACGTACCGGTAGATGGGGGGGGGGAGAACATGCTGAAACCAAAGGCAATTCATATCTGACTTACAATGTATCTGCTCTGTACACAACTTAATGACGGTGGCACATGGCCAAGCATTGATATCCCTAGCTGGGTATTGGAACATGTAAATGTACTTACATGTACAAAACACTTAGTTTCATTAAATACTCCCGAGTGAAGCTTTAAAACTGTATGCCCTGGCCAGTCCTGCTTTGAGGGGACAAGCTATTTGGTTGAGAAATTTGGGACTATGTTGTGAGGATAAATACTGGCCCCTATGATGAATCTACCCCAATAATCCCACAACTACACGGTACAGTTGTAAGTACTTACAGGTATGTGTGCACATGAACATGTGCGTAATGTACATGTACATGTGCCGGTACCGCACCTATTTAAATTTGCATTTGTGAAACAAATTACAATCGGTGGGAAATCGTTCCAAACCACTGTACCGGTAGCATCAAAACCAGACAGAAACTGTGTTGCCAAACTAAATTTATACGGAGATGCCAAGCTCAGTCTAAAGTCCATGCAACAGAAGTTGGGCCATACAGTCCCAGATCCATCAAATTCTTGCCAAACCCACAGCCTTTGGAGAATTGGAACCACTCAAGGTAAAGACACCTTGAAGGAGCCTCATTGTTTTAAGAGTTGGGTAGACATCATGTCCATTGCTGAGACAATGCCCATACAAACTCATTCCGTACATGCACTTTCATCAAATTATTTCAGTCCTTAACTAAAACAAGACGGGGGAAACTATTACCCAGTTGAGCTGAGACAGTTCTTAGTCCGGAATCCATGATATAACGGTACGGATCAGCCAAGTACACGTAGCAACGACACAAAGACCAGGAATGGACAAGGTGAAAACAGGAACATGCATGTCTGAGACACTAAAGCTCGTGCCAAAACGTGCTCCCTAACTGTACCACTGTGAACCAGAAAAAAGGATGATTCATCTCTGGCAGAGAGAGAACCACCATCGCTGAAAGAGAGGGAACACAAGTATATCACAACGAATCAATGTCACCTTCTTTCCAGTGGAAATCAACAAAGAACATCCAGGGGGGGTAGGAAGATGCGACGTCATTTTGTTCCAAGACAGTGTTCCCAATACTGTATCATTTGTTGAAGCTTGTCATTCTTTTTTTTTTTATGAATGGCGTGTAATGGGATATTGGGTAAGGGGTACAAGGGGGACAAATTATTGGCAATTCATAAAATGTGCCAGGGGCGAAGTCTTGTCTGGTTAGTCAGCCAAGTCGATGACAGGCGACAACAGTGACACTGCACGTCTCCGATTATGATTCATCCCTTATTGGTAGCAGGGGTGTAGGCTTCACCCAAGTGCATTCACGAGTTCAATCAAAAGCATGATACACTGATTTCTGAGTTCAAACAGGCCAATTGTCTGGAGTGCCCAGAACGACTTGGACCGTTCTTTGTTGCTGTGAGACGTACTCGTGCAAATCATGCACGGACACATTTCGCTGAGAAAACACAGATCTCTGAAAAATATTGTTACACTTCACCACTCCTTATAAACCACAGCTTGAAAATAAAGTTACTGTACTTATGATCAAGCTTGACATCACAGAATTTACAGCTGGGTCATTCTAGGTATAAATTTTGGGTCCTAAATTGTGACATTTTTCTGTCCCTGTTACCTCTGACATGTATACCATCTGACATGTTTGACAAGGGATTTATCACTGAAATTGATTTCAAACTGTTTCTATTGGTTTGGCAGGTACTTTGCAGTACTTTTTCAGTTTTGGAAATTAAACAGTGAGTTCTTAACATTAAAAATCATATGTCAGACGTAACAGGGACGGGAACAAAATTGGACCCCCAATTTATAAAATGACCCACCTGTTTGCAAGGTGGATGAATGCTTGTTCACTTGAGAGGGAATTTCTCTTGTTGTTGCCTGGTCTCATGCAAGCAACAACAAATAGCAAGCCAAAACTTTCTTCGAGATGTCAGGAAGAGCTGATATGCATGTACATGTACGGTTGCTCTGTGCCTGTTCCAAGAATCACACACAAACACCTGTCATAGATGTAGGGTACTTCCTTACCACCAATGGTCTGGGGTTTTGAGGCATACAACACTGAGTCAATTCAACTTCTTGGACTTGCAAATATTCGACCTTTCATTTGATTGCATATTCAAAATTTGGTGAAGCCACATTGCCACAAAAACAGGAAAAACAGCTGGCAAGTGTGTGTGGGCTAGCCTTCCTTGTGGAGTTTTGGGAGTGGGATCTGTCCCCTCCCATAGCTAAAGGAGGGGGCTGGAAATCGGGACCACTAATTTTGGGGTGTAACTGGTGATTTCATTCCCCAAGTCTCAGTGAGATCACACATCACAAAGAGTCAAAAATAGAAAAAACAGAGAAAGAGTAATACATTAGCTTCACCGTGGGCCAAATGCGGCAGCGGATTTTATGTTTTCTCTTGACACCTCGACATACTGGTACGGTACCTTTCTAGAATACAATTCTTAGCCAAACAACTGAACTTTTTTCCCTCTACATATTCCACCGACTTTAACCTCCAAATACTCAGTTTTGAAAATGAATATTTGATGATCATTCAAATATTTGAAACTTACGCGTACATATTCAGCACAGCTCTGGCGTACACGTAAAAACTCTGACCATGCGTACGATCTACATTTAGGCCTACACTGTACATGAAATGTACTGGTACATACATGTACTCGGGCCAAAACGCATACTTGCTACGAAGTACCTTCCATATTCAGGTCTCGCCTTCCTGTGTCTTCCTGGGCTTTTGCACGTTGCAATGTCTCACACACTGACACACCACGCATGGCAATATGATCAACGTGCTTGTCAACAGTACAGTCAACACTGTCCAAACACGGCGCATAAAGGACTATCCTAGAAAATTCAAATCTTTTGTAACTAAGATATTTGCATGTCAGAAAGGACAAAACCAGAGAAGACTACAAGAGAGGTACCCGGTATGCACTCCGCCCACGTACCACACAGTGAGCATGTGCAACACATGTAACACATTGATGTACAATGCACATTCACGGAACACCGGAGATGTACATGTACTTGTACCCGTATGCATCTCCAACTCATTAGGGCTTACACAGCTTGATCAACTGTCCAATTTACGTACATCTTGTCAGCACTCAGATCACTGCCTAAGACCCGTGCTTCCTGGATGTTGGTTTCCCAACCTCCAATTAGTGCCAGTTTTTTTTCTCCACACCCGGATAACGAATCGTGAGAAACCTATCAGAAACTATGACCTTGTTGGGTTGAAACCCAATGCAGCTCATCATTATCTTTCCGTTGGCTTTTCCTCCATGACCAATTGGACATTTTTTACCCTGCTACCGACTCGCACACAAGTTCTGAAGTGTTTTGGGGTTATACATACACGTACATGTACATGTAGAGCAAAGCAAGAGAACATGTCTCTCAGGGCCCATCTGACTCTCTTGATTCAGCCTTCCAGCAAATCTGCCCCAAATTACGCTCACCTCTGGGGGTTCAAGACTGTACAATATCCTTATGTACTCGTACATGTACTTCGAACACTGCAGAACGTTGTAATTGCCAAGAATCAAAGGATTTTAACTTGAAGAAATGGAAGGAAAAAACGATACGTGACTCCAAATCCAGGCTCGCATGGATGTAAAAAATTCGGTATTTTGGCATTTTTTTCCCCTGCCAATAATGATTTCAGTTTGAGCGCTTTAGTAAACTGATCAAAAGAGCAATTTCATGCAAAGAATCTTTGCCATGAAGGGCAATCAATCACTCTTGCCCAATTTGGTTCTACTTGCGTGCTTGATGGTTTTCTAGCCAATACTGTTCATGTACCAGTTCAGCCTGGGTTTGCAACGGAGCATCAGATGCACATAGCGGTATTAGCCTTCTTCTACTTCGCTGCAGAGCATAATCCATACATAAAGCCGCTAATTGATTGAACAAGATAGAGCTTTTAAGCGGGGTCCTGCGCCGGGCCGTGCCAAGACTCACTCCAGCATCACCCCCCCTTACCAAGCCTACCCCAGTCAATAATTAAACCCCCTCCTGGCACTCAGCCATACCTAGGCCCACCAGCTCTAGATGGGGGGGCCAGATAAGCCGCCCTTCTATCTCATAACTTAGCACACCTCCGCCGCGCCGACAGTGAGGCTCTATTTAATTATCGGTTCTTGCCGACTGTTCAATGCACTTGACATCCCACGGGCTACTGCAACCAATACAAAAAGACATACCGGGTACATGTACACGTAGCAACCAAGGAGAATGAAACTACGATTTTTGGGGGCTGCATTTTAATTTGGAGTATGAACCAGGATGGAAACTTTTCAATGTTAAAGCGCTGATGTTTACATGAGCTGTGTGCGAATAAACATTCTACACAAAGTCAGCGCCAAAGAATGAAGCAACTGTAAAATTACCTTAAGCCTGCCTGCCAACGATCTGTATTGTGCAAATAATGAAATGTTAACGAGTGCAGTGGTATAAGGACAGTTTCATGACCTGAGCATTGGGAGGGAACATTTCATCTGTCGCAAAATGAAACTACCGTATTCTTAGCAATGCACAACTGAGAAGCATTCACATTGTTTTTGTACTACGCCTGAATCAATCCAGAAAAATCCCAGTACTAACTGAATAAATCCGGCCTCAAAAAATTCTTGCATCTTTCATGAATTCAGAAATGACAGAGATTTACATGTATTCAGACGCTGCACGTACCCGGTACATGTACACAAACAGCCTTGATGAGTGGGTGGACAGCGGTAGCATTTATTTACATGTACAAGTAAATGTCTCAGACAGAGCACAACACATTTACCACATCTTTAATTTTAACCATCATAAAGTTAAACTTACTAACTCTAACCTTCCCTAACCACGCAGAATTGAACACCAGTAAAGTGTGTGAATTTGTGGCACTGGGTACTGTACGTCCTGTAACTGCTTGTGCTTTAACATGGGTTCAGGCATACCCAAAATAAACAGAGTCCAACAGTTTTTGGGCACAGTTTACCATAGGGTGTTGGAATTTGTGTGAATGGGTATGGTTCCTAGTAAATCACTCTAGGGAGTTTGGGTTATCAACCACTGTACCAGTATGTAGGCGTGTGACGTGATTGTTGCAATTGGGAGACGTTACATAGATAGCAGTAGGCCTACCTTTCATATTAAAGAATTTCGCCCTTCAGCGACGTATCCAAAACTCCAAATAAACAAAATTCACAGACAATGTTACTTTGTTCCTTTACCTGGGCTATGCTTTAAGCTACTGCTATAAATTCTAAATTCAACCCCTGGTCACAACTCAATCCCATCTCAGCCATGAGAGGACTTTAACAGTGTTATAGCTGCGCCAGTCAGTGACGGTTGGGGATCTTCACCACACCGTTCTACCGTCTGGCACTAAGCTTGCTGAAACAGCACACCGACAGGCACAGAAATCCTTACAAATCTCAGAAAAAAAGATTAGTCACTGTGAAAATTTCACATTTTTACCTGGAAGAATAAAAAAATTGAACTCTTAAATCAATTTGGAAAGAAAAACCCACTGAAAAAGTGATCTAGAGTCCCCATAAGCGGGCCCCTGGACCCCCGGCTGTGACCCACAATACCTGGGTTTCTTTACTCCCTCCGTTCGCCATTACTAATTTGCCCTGCACTAAAATATGGCTGGCTATAACACCGAACCTGCATTCTCAACTTAACATCATCACACATCCTATGAGAGCGAGAGGACGGACAGATCCACTGCTGCAGTAGTAGGAGATATACAGATTTGAAATTTAAAAAAAACCACCACTCAGCTTTCTTCATCATGCAAGTTCTTTTGAGCATGGTCGTAAGTTCTGAGCATGGTTTTCAGTTCTTACCCTGGTCCTCTGAGAGTCGCAACATGGTGTCCAGGGCCATGTCCCGTTCCTCCTGGTCACAGAGTGTCCGCAAGGCTTCCAGTAAGATCCTTGTTGCCGTTTGTCTGGACAGGAGAAAAAAAAAAGCAGAGAAGTTTGTGAGTACAGGACAGCGTTGTAATCTGGCCCATGCCTTTCACGACACTAGTCCTAAGTTAATGTGAGCACAGTGACAAAGGAATGCCCTTGTCACAGTTCACTTCAATAGCTTGTGACTTGGCAGATTGACTTTTGCTGGACTTATGATGGACTCAACTACATTGTACAACACTGATCAAAGAAAAATCAACTTCTTTTCCATAGTCGCACATAACTTTCTGTGTTGATAGGGTACAAGATGGATTATGAGGCATGTTAACAATGAAGAATGTTTCTAAAGGAACATGTACATTTCTTTTGAGAAATGACACAAATCGTGCTTAATCCCCCCCCAAAAAAAGATTTTTGGTGTGGGTCTTATCAGATATTCTACTTTGGAAACAAGCAAACTAAAACTACAGGTACATCTGCATCTTCCATTTGTGTTTATTTTGATGATTAATCAGCACATTTACATATACATGTATGTGCTTGTACTTTATTGGGCAGTACATGTTTGAGCAAGCTATAAGAAAACATACAAGTTGGCAGGCAATTTAGCACTCATGTACCACACCATAACAAACCTGTCATAAAATTGTACAAGTTACCTGTAAACAATTTCTGGAAATCATAAATTAAGAACATTCCAATGCATTCCCTCTCTAAATTCCAGTGCTCCTGACAGCTGCAACGCAATCCCCAAACAACCCTAATCTTGCAGATCACCAGGCAATCCACACTATCGATACCTCAATCAGCATGCATAGGCCAGCTTTAAACTGGCACTACACTTGGCCCGATCGTCTATCAAATTACTCAATAATTCAATATTGCTGTGCGGCCTGTGCACACCCGCTGGTACACTCCCGAGGGCCATGTGGTGCCAATAAAAGAGCGTATGCACACAGGCAGCAGCACACCTTGGGGAGTAGAGGGACTAGACCTGGTGCCAGATATTGGCTGACCTTTTTGGGTGGGAATGCACCCCCCTCAGCTTGATAACATCAACGGAAGGGGGGGGTGGGGAGATTTCAACACAGTCTGTAGCCCTGTGGATGTTACCACCACCACCAACGCATGATCTGCCAAGGGCTAAAAACAACCTACGAAGCCCCACTGAATTTAAAAGCCTGCATCCCTTTACAACTCGGGTGGGAAAATGATGTTTGAGGGTTGCTGGTCAACTGTCTGCGGCTTTTAAATTGAAGGCAAAGTTGGAGTCACACGGGAAACAGAATACGCATACATGAACAGCACTTGCCATGTACAAACGTATGGTAAAGTGCACATAAGCATAACATTCCAAATATTGTTCTCCTTCGTCTTGGCAAGGGTATTATTCTACCGGTATAAAGGATGCTTTGAGAAACTTTCCCATCAAGCACACACGTACAGGCACAGTTCTGATATTACATGTACATGTATGTATGATGTACTGGTATAGTAACAATGTTGAATTTCACAAAATATTTCACAAAAAACAAACATTTCACACCCACACAATAGTATTTGTGCATGGAGATGCGCGGATGTGACTCGAACATTGCAGTGTGGTAGCTGCCTATTTATCACATGAAATTTTAGCGCATTGTACGACAAAACACACTCTAAATGCAGGCAAATTCTTTTGATTGTTTTACTCACTTTCTATATTAAGTATTTCTGATCTTTGTTTCGTTTGGCCTATTGTCCAATGACGCTCCTTTTGCGGATGCCTACACGTACATGTACTCGTACACTACCATAAAATGCATAGTATAAATACTGTATATTATTAAAACTGGCCAAAGAATGGTCTTCCAAACCTGTTTCCTGTTTTTCTTTCGCCATATGGGGGACCCAGTGACTACAGGGTGAGGAAATTGAGCCCTCATCCACTTCATACAAACACGTCACTTCCAATTCGCAGCACACTAAGTGATGCCAGTGGCAATGAACTGACATGAACCACAGCTGGGAACCAACTTCCACTTTGGGTTTTTTTCTGGCAGACAACAAATGAGCAAGATACTGTTCCGAGGCACAACGTACTGACACAGTTCAACTTACCCATGTTAAATGTACGTGTAACTTGCAAGGCGTTATTACAAGTGCATGATCGCTGTCCAGATGTTCACTTGAATGCAACAACACTACTGCACTGCACTGACAACATAATGAACATCAAAACCATATGTTGATGATGGGTTTTGAATGCCACGTATCAATTACCAGGCAAGACATCCGTACAATATTCAGCTGCGTCGTTCCCTCAGACTTGTTTTCAAACGTATCACATCACTGCTCAGCAAATGTTTACATGTGCATGGACCCCGGGTTGCACGTGGAATACACTAGCACAGACATGTACATGCACATTACACTCTACACGGTGCAGCATCTTGTCCGGGGGACGGGTACCAGTATAAACGTTTATTCAATTATTAGGGAATTTCAAATGGAAAATCACACAAAGCAGAGACTGAATGTACCGTGAAGAAAATTACGCACATCATATACATGCACATGTATATAGCAATGTTCAAGTCCATGTATATGTACTTGGTACATCTGCCATCCTCCATTATGTATGAGCCCTTGCTTAAAGCTGTAGACATGAAACGGTTGAATGGCTACTGATACATGTAAATGCAGAGTGTACATTAAGCACATGTTTGAATTGCTGGTATTTTTAGGTGCAATGAACGAACAAATATGAGGTACATCAGCATACCGATCAACACAAACATATGGGCCAACTTTTGATGCTTTGTGACCTCTATAGAACAAGTTTTTTCCCAGTCCATCTTGGGACAAATTTCAGCAAGTTGCCGGATCAACTTCCAAAGGGCAAAAAGGAAAAGTACAACAAAAGTATTGGTGCATGCCTGTACATGTACTTCGACCCTCCCTTCTCCATGCAGGTAATCTAACTGTCTAAATAAAAATTAGGCTTGACAAGGAGGCTTGCATCAATTCAAGAGCCCCATTTCTCAGTCTCGTGAGTTAAGAACACGTGGACACCACATGTGCTTCTAACCAAGGGCGCCCTACATGTACATGTATAACCACATCCGGACTGGAGGAAATGCTGTAATGCATTTATATACACATATGCATGTACATGTACATGTGCCAGTGCATCAATCCCTATGTACCGGTAGAATACAGTACACAATGCATGGTTTCGTTTGTATTGAGTCTGCGTCAGGCCAGTAAAGATTATACACATCTTAAGGCGCCTACATGCAGGGTAAGCACCTCCAATCCTCAAAAGAAAAAAAATCCAGTCTGTTTGGAAAGCTTGTTTGGTTCCTTGGAGGAAGTACGAGAACATAATGTACATACAGATGCAATATACCGGTATATACATGTAATGTAACTGCTTATGACATGATGGAACCAACTTATGACAACTCTGTGGAAGCACTGTAACGCTGTACGATAACGTTGGATATTTCACATAAGGTCGAGTCACAAAACCAGCATATCCACTTTTCTCCTCGTTTCTTGTGTTATTTGGGTGGTGTGACGGAAAGGCGCGCTACGCTTGAATTCATCCCCCAGCAAAAATCTGCCACATTTGTCGAAGACCAAATTGACAAAAAATTTCGAAAGTTCTTTTCCCAAGGCAATCCACAATAAACAAATGTCATCTACGTTGCAGTTTATGAAAAGTTACCGACAGTTGCTTCTCTGTGACTGTTCAACCAGATACAAGAACTTTTGTTTTAAATTAACCGCAACTAGACAAAATGATCCACGTGGTTAAATGTACCGGTATTCCGTGCATTCACGTTACATATACATGTATGCATTCATGTACATGTACGTTACAGGTTTCATACAGTGGTGTACATGTACATGGCTACCAGTAGTCATGCATATTACCAAATGGCTCACTGCTAACATGATTTTTTAAAATTTATTGGGAGTGTCGGGCGGTGAACAAATTATGGTTATCACTTTTCTACCGCTCCACCTCAACATCGGGATATTTCTTTTTCTTTGAGAGTTTCCCCTTCAAAACTGCTCTCCGATGTCCTTTATCCTTCGGGCTTAAAAATGCAATATGGGACATTGTGAAGCCTTCATTTCCGACTCGGGAAGTTTTCAAGATGATTCAACCCCTTTTGGGCCCTCAGCTCCAAACCCCCCCCCCCCAAAAAAAACTGAAAACGAGAACAAAGTGAATGCCTCTCCCTGATGTCGAGAAGGCATTCACTCAGCCCGGGTTTTCTTATCAATAGGGAAATTCTGGCTGGGAATGGGGGCACTGAATTATGACTTCGCCAGATTGCCTGGGGAGAGAAACGAGGGGAGAGTGGAGCCTGTGTTTTTGTTTGGAGTGATACATGTCCATAATATGAATTTCTAGGGTGGGCTTAATTAAAAAATGTCCCAACCCCTATGTCTGCATGTCAACGATACTAAAATAAGCAGACTATGACACTGGGTATTCAAAACAGAGATAAATTTGGTTTCAAACACACAATGCACATTTGGGGTTTTACTGAATTTGACCACAGCCAAACGTATTTTTTTCCCTTCCGAAGTCAAATTAATAAAAAAACACGGAAGAAAGTTCACAACCTCTTACAGGCTTAACAAATTAAACACGATTTTAGCATTTACATGTATCTTATCCCAACTACTTGGTAGGGATCAACCGATGTCCGATGTTTCAATCGAATGTCAGTTTACACGTTACCGGTAATAAGATTAGTTTTTGCCTTTACTGCCACCAAGTTGAGAGTGTACAGGTACATCACATTGCTGCTCGCATGATACCTAGCCTTTAGTCAAGGTGCGCATGGCACTGGTGCACCATGATCGGCTCATGTCTTTGCCGTGCCAATGGCAGAGGTGCATGTCGTGTGTCCAGGTAGCCCACACAGCCTTGAGTAAAGGCTAAATCGCGGGCTACAATGTACCTTCAGACTGGTCACACCTCGTACACGTACACTCCCATGCCCTCGTGCACCACTTGAGAGTTAACACATGCGTTCTCAATCACTTTACTGTGGATTTGAAGGCAGGCGACGTGGGACACCATTCCAACACCTTTTTGAGGGATACTTTACATGGGTTTAACCACTTCCTGCCAGGGCATTTATCAATGTTGATGATGCTGGGCCGGCATAATTATCATTTTTTCCATTTCAAAAATTCATCATTTCATTTAACGGACGTTTATAGCCGCACGAAGTAATCTTTAGGCACTACTTTAAGTTGACAGGTGACCTTCATTGACGCCGGAGTATTTCAGCCAGGCCTGCAGCCTTGTACAAAGAGCCCAGATTGTGCGGTGTTATGTAACTTTCTTTTGTTCACGAACCTGGCTTAGTGCACTGCTGACCTCTTTTCAATAGGGGCCAGATTAGCGTGCAGCGGTGCTGTGTGGCTCATCGCTACAGTAGTGGAGCCCTTTTGTCCCCGGTGGTAATCCGCTCGGTCTAAATGCCCCAAACCTTGGAATACGGTTTCAAAACAAGGCTTGATTATCACCACTTTTGAGAGTGAAAAATGTTGATAATGCCCAGCAGCCTGGTCTTTTGTTCGGAGTACGGTCTTTTGTTACAGGGCCCTGTTTCCTTTGTCCCAGTTTGGAGACCCCAGCCATGCATATAAAGCATACGTCTCCGATTCCGGAGTCCCCGGCAGGAAGTAGTTAACCATGGTATAACTATTTATTTATACGCAAAATGAAAAAACTGTTTTTATTCATGCTCAAATAAAAATAGACGTATGAGATTTGTGTCTTCGTCAAAACTGAGTGCAGAGTTTGTTCTTTTTTTCAGTTTAACATCATTTGGCAAGGTCAAATTTTGCTGATCCGATGTGTTGTCAAGCATCCGCCAGATCCGATGTCCGATCCGATCATCGGTTGCTCCCTAATCCTAACTTCAATTACCTGTGGCTACCGGTATCTTTTAACACTCGCTCATTTGATCTGAAAGACACTTACCACACAGAAAAATTGGAAGAGACATTCTGCATGTTGTCTTACTTACTTTTGGTTTGTTTGTTTGTTTGTTTGTTTGTTTGCTTTTTTTCTTTTTTTCTGTGAATACTCATGCGAGTTTCTTCTTACTTTCATATGGTCCTTTGGGATTTTCAGCATATTGTTAAGTATTTAGAAGCCCAGTCTAGGTGTAGCTTTGAGCCTATTTGAAAAAAAAAATCCAAATTAAGGAAATCCACTTTTTTTCACAGCATATGAAAACATGTACAGATACATGTACGTTCACCCGCATATTTCTATGGTATGTAGCCATGTGCATTATCATGCTGCCATGAATGACACATTTTTGGGCTGACTACGCACTTACCATACCGGTACTTGCCTAATTTCTTCCCACACTGAGTGCATTTAACACTCTCTTTTCAAGCAAAATGTCAGGGAACCAGGGAAATACCATGACCAGTTTGCTGTGGGATAAACAACCCCGCCACAAGGGGGACCACCCTCCGGCCCGCACATCCCTTGCAACAAATTGGACTCCTGTATGTCCTTGTGTTTGGTTGGAACACACTGTAGGCATACCATGGGAAAGTGCAAGGTACATGTAGTGCTGGTTATGCACAAGTTGGAGGGGTGGGAGACCAGCTCTGATTGACCCTGACCACCTGTCCCTTCCCATCAGAAACCCTATCAGGCACCCTGTTTTTGGAATGACTGGCCCCCAGTGGGGTACCGGACTGCACCCCATCATGGGCTACACTGGGTGTAACTAACTTGTTTGTGTTGTCGGCCCTGACTTCATGGTATCACAAAGCCATTCAAGTACAGTAATTGCAAAAATGGAAAAGTGCAATACCGAAACTATCCTTTCAAAGAAATTTTGAGTCACTTCCATTCCAACTGTGTTCATAGAGTTGCTAATTTTGCACCATATGGAGGCCTTTAGATTGTGTACTTACCATATCCTCACCCTGAACCACACTTCCTTAACTTTTAGCATCACAGGCGCCCTGCATACACCAGAATGTTATCAATCACTTCCAAGTCTCAGAATGTCCTACCCAACAGGATCCACATCCACCGTCTGCTAACACAGCCCGGATAACCACCTCAGCAATATCTTCCAGCCGACCCCTCAAAGCTTATGACCTCTCAACCTTTGCCCCCCCCACAGCTCAGCTTGACACATGTGACTCGAGGAAGGCGGGTTGTGTATGTACCTACCTCAAGGCTGTTTTTGTTAGGATGGGGGGGGCAGGTTTCCAGCACAGCCCAACCCAATCGGGGCCAAGACTGCACACGCAAAGCTTTGGCAGCAGAAAATGCACTGGTGTGCATGCACAAGCACAGAGAGTAGTGAACATCTGATCAGCCGCCTTGCCTTGACTTCAAGCCAGCAGAGTTCAGGCTGAGAGGTTTGGTTTTAATGATAATGAAACCAAACTTTGTTTGCAAAACTACAATGACAGGAAAGACCCTCCAGAAAGAAGTGTGACCTTCCCAATGCGGGTTCATCGGGTACATGCCAGGCATTTTTTAATTGCTTAATACAACTTCAGGAGTTGACTCTGTTTCATTTTGCACAGGACCCAATTAAGGGTTTACCTGAACTGCAAAGCTCAAACCGTCTCGACAGGAGCTCAACGCTGCACAAGTTGGGCATATGTATCTACTAAAAGTGAAAACACAAATCTAGTTGTAGCCAGCCTTTCCGGTACAAGACTTTGGGATGGATTTTAACATGAACATTGCAGAAGTTATCTTGGACTCGATCCTTTTAGCTTCCTGCTTGTACAACAATGCAAACCTTTGATCGCAATATCAAATGACAAATTTCTCAAAAATCTCTTACTTATCACTTTTAAACACAGCCACTTCTTAAGTTCGAGCATGAACCGGCTGGTAGCTGCCAATTAGTAATTTTGAATTTTCTTTGAATGGCATGGATCACTGTCCTTTGTAAGGGACGCTTTTCTGGAAACTCAAAATCTATAAGCACACATACACCAAAGTCCAGAAAAATTCACATCAGATCTTAGCGTCCCAGTTTTCCTTTCTCTTGTTCCGCTTCTCTAGGCATGAGATACAGTCAAATGGAAAGACCTAGGGATTGGGGAAAGAGCGCTTGATTTTCAAGCTGCTTCCAGTCAGAAGCCTGGGTTGGTTCATGTTTGGTTAACAACTCTGTGCCAGCAAACATGTAAACATGATCTGGCTATCTATATACACAGGAACAGCACTGGTTAAAACTTCAAGCACATATCAAGAGCCTTTCAGCTCACCTCTGGTTGATGTTTTAAACATAATAATCCCCCATATGTTTTGTAGACACAAACAGACCGGGAAGTATGTGAAGGGAAGCCCATAAAGTTGGACTTCATTTGGCCGCCATGCACAAGCTGTGGTAACAAGTATTGCTCCATGGGCAAAATTATGAGGTGGCCATAGGAAATATCGCAAAACATACTGTTCAAATGACGTTAACGGATCAGTAGTTTTGACACTCGGCTGTATATTACTACTTGGCTGCAAAATCTTGCATTTTGCGAAATGTAAATTTCGGCCCAAACAGACACCATCAACAAATGGCAGACTAACCTGTTGAAGCCATTGTCGGTGTTGGCGTACTTCTGAAGCCGTGCCAGCGGGGTGAGCAGTTCGTCCTGAGTTGGCGTGTCCAGCGGAGACGAGAGCAGCTGAAAATCGTCCGACTTCTCATCACCGACTGCAGTTGAGAAGAAAAAAAGGATAGACAGAACAAATAAATCCCCGGTGGGAAACTAGACAGTGAGGAAAGCCTACACCAATCCTCCAAGCCGGGAAGAACGTTAGGGTGCCATACTTTTTGCAGGCTACTGGCATTTGTAAAGGATTTCCTATTACCGGTAGATATGCACAAATGACTGTCGCATGTGAAAAGTAAAAAAAACTAGAAAATCTGCCAAAAATAAAAAAATAAGAAGAGCTCCATGCTTCCCGGAACACGCCTGTTAGTATTTTTGCTGTTAAAATTCAAAATCCTAGAAGCAATACGTACATAATATACCAGAAACACATACATACATGTAAAGTCAAATGCTCAAAAAGGCATATGGTATACAGGTATACATGTCTTTACCGATATTTTTTTTTTCAACAGTCACATGACCCCTTCCATACATGGGAAAAAAAATGAGAACTGCACTGAACCATTGCCTCCCACCACAGCCACACAATGCATCAAGGGGTATACGGCTCATTTCGTCAATTCTAAATTGTCAGAACGTGTATCATACAGAATACGCAGTCACATGCTAAAATGCTCCCATTATCATATCAGTGCTTATGTGCATAATGTGACCTCTTTATTTGTAGCAGAACTTTTAAAAAATATACCAATGTACATGTACGTGTGCATGCGCAGACAATGTGCCGGTACATGTAGGCCTACAGTACACATCTGTGCTCGGTGTAAGAAGTTTATCACAGACATGTACAAATAGAATGCATTCAAAGCTCATCAGAAATTCCTGTATGAGTTTTAATGATTGTTTGATGAATGTAAAGGAGCATATATCACTCATTCATGGCACTTTAATTAATTTCGTCAAAATTCACAAGCCTCTTTTCACTCGTCTCTCGACTGGACTGGCCCCAGTCAAAAACCCTGACTGACTTCCTCTGGTTGGCTGGCCTGACTTCAACGGACGTAATCATGTTAACCAGACGAGACCAGACCGAAGCATTCCTGGCCAGTGACAGCGATGACTTCATGATCCAATCATGCCAACAGCCACCACACACAGTGGAATTTATACACGAGGGAGGAATGTGCAAGAACGTAACTTGATTAAGTGGGTTTCGCGGTTGTATTGATTTGAGCAGGAGTAGTTATATCTTTACCCTTTATTACATCAAAGACCTTAATCCTGAAAGATAATTCCAGAGCTTTTGATGCTGGAGATCATTATTAAATACATGTTCTCTGCACAAACATGTGCGCATATGTTTACATTATCTACTGGGTACTCAGTGTTGAAATCCTTTGTTGTCATGTAAAAAAAAACATGGTAAAGATACTCCTTTGCTTTTTCAAAAACCTACAGACAAGTTTTTTTTTTGGGGGGGGAGAAAACCTTCCTAAACATGGTAAAATCCAACATTAGTTGGTAACCCAACATTCTACATGTACCTGCGTAATGCATTTACTCCCTGGTAGGACATCAAGCCCCAAGCACATCCACAATGGTTGTTTGGAGGCTAAGACTTTGGGTTTTTCATGCCACTAGCTGATGCGTAAAAGCCCTACCGGTATTCCAGGCCGTGAGGCCTGCTTGTTCAACCCCTTTTGATGATGTCGGGATCGGTAAGGTTCACCCTTTGCTATCGTTGGATTCTCTTGAGCAAGACGCAGTATGAAACATCAAGGGAAAATTTAAAGCATCATGCTGGAAGTATAAAATACACGCGCAGAACGAACTTCGATAAGCACAATTTCCGAAATATTAGAAATGAAACTACTCATGACATCACTTATTTCTCCATCCTGTATGCAGTATGTAGGAGTACAGTAACCCCATCATACCTGAGAAAACAGCCTGACCATGGCGGAAGGAAAACATTCTGACATATTATGTATTCGTACATGTATGCTTCTCATCTGTCTTTATGGGGTGGATGTGCCATTATATTCATCCAAACACACCTCGGCTGGAATAAACAGGGGAAAAAACAGGGATCTATATTTTGCATCACTGGAATGCACGAATCTGCGGGAACATGTGTAGGCAGGAATGCCAGGCAGTTGGATGACAGCCAGAAACAGGTGAATGGATGGAGTCTCCAAATTTACGAGCTGGGACTGAGGATAGATACTGTACACTGTGCACTTTCAGTCCTTGTATTTAAAAGGCTAAGGTTTCCACATAAATTTGAAAAAAAAAACCAGGCAAACTATCATAGTTAACAAGTGTCTGCTAACCATGTAGATTACAGAAGATTTTTTCTCAGAATAGTTACATATAGTAGGTAGGTACCGGGTAAGTATTGGTGAGATTGATTGCATGTTAGCTACAGTACATGTACAGGTGTATTTACTGGGACACTTTAACATAATACATATAGTAGCACGGTACTTGCACAGTACATGTACATGTATCTGCTATCTAAACCACTGAATAAAGATGGAGTTTGGCAGAGAAATACACTTAATTATCGGTACAAGTACATTAACATGTACAGTACCTGTACGTACGTGTAATTGCATACCATAACGAATGGAGACGCCCTCACATTCGCATCATCATCATCCACAACAAAATTTGTTCTCTCCCAATTCTACACACGTGTACTCATACATGCACCGGGGGTTTATGTACACACAATACCGCAATACACAATAAGAGCCAGGAATGGAATTACTGGTGTACGTACATGTACCCCTTTCTAAGGGACAAGTTTTTTGTCTGCAGCAAGATTTTCCAAGCCGGTGCTTTCAGTCCCCATATAACAATACATTCAGGAACGTACAGGATGGGAAATAGGGAATGTCCCAAGGGAACTGACAGCAAATTGACAAGTGCATTACTATGATCAATACAGGTACCTACCGACTGAAGGTACATGCACATGTAATATACTGTGTATAACAACCTCCTCAGCTACTGGGATACGCAAGTGAACCTCCAAGCACGCTTCGTTTTAGGAGATCGTGCTGCCGGATCAACGGACACAATGTCTACATGGAGCACAAGCACTTTGTCTGATGCTGCTGTGTGTACACAATCCTTGTTTCTACCGCATCCCAGGCTCCGGAGCACCTGTACTAATACACCTGTTAACAAGGGGCGTCCGTCCTGTAACCGCACACCCTCTTCTTGTAGTGTATCCTCTCACTCAAATCCACTCAGCACTGTGTCCCACAGACAAACCGAGGCAGTCCGTTTTTATAACGCCAGCTCAATGCCAAGGAGACGGTCCACCACACAACTGCCAACCAGAGGGGAACCCTTCCCATCATCCATTTGGGCCAGCAGTGGGTGGAGGCTGACTGGCCGAGGCAGACCCCGGGGTCCCAACCAGGCCGCAGCACCGCTGGCAGACACGGAGCACAGCCAGCCAACCCAGTGGGGGGAACCTGACCCTATTTTCTTACAATTATTATCGGGGCCAGTAAATGAAGAGGTAAGAGAGGGAGAGAAAGAAGCTGCTGCTGGGTATCACATCCAAAGCATTCCATGCCAACCCCCCAAAGCACAGATCAGATCGCACGGGCAAACCCGCTCGTACCTCTGTCTCTCTCTCTCTCCGCAGGATGCAAAGTTATACGCACAGCTAGCAATCAGGGACAAACCGCATACCGACTCGGTTACTTCCCCATTGACAATAATAGAGTTTTGATCAGTGCTAACAGCCGCCTGGAATTCAGCAAAACAAGAGAGTAAGAAGTGATATATTTGATAACAAAATGCTCGGGCCTAAACCGACCAGGCACGTCACCCATCGTGAGCCAGCCAGCCTTCTGGGGAGGGAGCCCCAGGTGTCGCTGTTCCCACGACCTTTGGCACCTACTAAAAACTACTCTTGGCCCATAACCGAGTGATTTGCAAGATAATTTCCAATAATTATCACTGATGGAGATCAGTTAAGCTGCCACAATCCACAAGTAAACCTCTCAGACGAAATGACCCTTGAGCTTTGAGGAAAAATGTAAAACTCGTTTGCTGTTTATTCATTAAAGAGTGAGCCAACAGAGTCTGAAATGCAATTCAATTTTAAAAATTACCTGATAAAACATGCGCATGCACTTGATAACCTGGATCATACCCACGAATACAGGAACACAGTACATGTGTACCACACAAAAGGCACACACGTGCATGAACTGACACTGAACTGAATTTTACAGGAAACTTGAAAATGTAGAGAACATGTACATGATTAGTGTTAACCCCTGAAACATTAAAAATCACTGACTAATCAGAATACATGTAGCTGGCGGGTTTGGAAGGTAAGGATTCCATACCGGTGCATACGCAGCCCTCTGTTGGTTAACACAGAGGCACGTAATCCAAGTTTTTTTTTTTAATCGGTGCACTGAACCTGGGAAAGTGAACCGATATCGCTGGATTATCTGCTGAATTTTCTTCAACTCAACTATCATGGATTTTAGTGCACTATAAACATGTCCTCCAAATCTTGTTCAAAAAGTGTCTGCCGTAAAAATCTAATTAAGATCACCATACGCATACAGGTACACGTACATGTACAATGAAACCCAAGATCTTACAGAATGGGGACCATGACTGTAAATTTATCCAGTGAAAGCAGTGATACCCTGAGTAGACTGTACATGTTTACATGTACTTATCAAGCAGTGGGGTTGTACTTCCGTGGTCCCAGACCAAAGTACAACCCCACTGCTCGGTAGTCGTGGTCCTAGACCCACGACTACCGACATGAATCCTAGCAGTCAATCATTTCCTGTGTCCAAGTACCACAAAAACGAAAACAAACTCAGGTGAAGCTTTTCTGCACAACTACCTTAGACAGCGGTTTTTGTGAAACTAAAGCTCATCACCGAGTTAAGTTTTAGCATGCATGCGCACGTCCTCAAACCTGACGTGTAACTCTGTACACAGATGTACTCGTATGCAGCACTTGTCTTGTGGAAGAAATCATTTCAAGTAAGCCTGCCCTTCCCCATGGGAATACTTTTTATTCATCATCAGCAAGTTACTAACAACT